AGAAAAAGTAGAATTGGGCTGAAAGATCTATCGCTTTATCACCTCTTCAGGTTTTAAATTGTGTTTATAAAAAGTAACTAAGTAATTAATTACTTTTGAAAATAAATAATCAGTAAAGTAACAGGATTACTTTTTTGGGGGAAGTAATCAGTAATTAGTTACTGATTACTTTTTTCAAGTAACTTGACCAACACTGCTTATGCACTGCAGCAGTGCAGCACGTGACAATTAAAAGCTACAATTAACGCTGTTAATGGTGACTCACTCATTGTACTTGAATCCATCTAATTTCTTACCTTGTTAAGGTGACCTCGCGCTGTCTTGACCTCGCTGTCTTCTTGGGACTGCTGTCCATCCTCCTGCACTTCTCCATGGAGCCACTGCATCCCTAGCAGCTAACATTTCGGTTAAATTCACACATTTATTCTGCATTTATTTTCAGTTTTTTTTTTTTCTGTCATGGCTCTAAACTTCTTCAACAAGCTGCATGAGAGCAGAGCGAAAGTAGGGGAGGGGCCGTTGGCGTTAAGTGATTTGATTGGGTAATAGTGTCAGCGATGAAAATGAACATTTTTTTTTTGTGTAATCAATCTCTATCCGGCTTTAACTGTGGATCCCAGTTTCTGTGGTCAGCTTTTCTTCTGAGTAAATCTTCCTTGTTAAGTTGCTCCTTTTAATTAACCTGAGTGACCTTTGCACATGCCCATCGACAAGACATTTCTTTCACCCCGGACCAAAACTGTTTCCGCCCGGTTTCGAACCGGGGACCTTTCGCGTGTGAGGCGAACGTGATAACCACTACACTACGGAAACCATGACGTGATGGCTTTCATCCCTGACCATTAGAAGACTCAGAAGTGCGAGAGTCGCTGTGTGCGATATTTTACAGTTATGAAGTGCATCTCTGAAGAAACAACGCACACAGTTTGAGTGGCACAGACCATCTGATAAGCTGGCACGGTAAGCTGCAGTTAAGTTTGACTGAATCCCCTCTGAACACAAACACATTACACTGAAATTGGCATCATTTAAATAAAATAATATCGCTGCATTCATGTGTTTGCAGGTTAAGCTGATGTTCATTATTATTGTGTCCAGTTTCTGCTGACGAAAATTCAGCAGAATCTGTTTTTTTTCTGTGGAGTGACTGTCACATATGTAGTACATAACACATATACAGTACATATTTTGATTGTGATTACGTAACTCATAGTACTTGCACGTCACATCTTGATGCATGCTCAGTGGTCCAGGTAAGTAAATCCCCAAAAGTTGATTCTGTTCATCTGGACGTAGCGTTTTCAGTGGGAGATACGTTTCGTCACTCATCAACGTTATTTCTTCAGTCTCAGCAGGTTTCCAAAATCTTATAAACAGTATATTTGCATAATGAGTGAAACTAGCACCACTGAAGGAACAATGGGCTGGGAGGTCAGTGCCTTGATCATTAATATGCAAATTCTCATGACCATTGATCAGTGGTCAGTCATTATGCAAAAGTACTGTTTATAAGATCGGGGAAAGATAAGAATGAAGAAGTCACTTGGATGAGTGAGGAAACGTGTCTACAAATGATACGCTACGTCCAGATGAACAGAATGAAATTTTGGGGACATTTTCACATAAGACTTTTGTATGTATTGGTATAACAATGGATATACTGAAATGTAATATAAATGTGTTTCCGCCCGGTTTCGAACCGGGGACCTTTCGCGTGTGAGGCGAACGTGATAACCACTACACTACGGAAACTGCCCGAGAGATGTCAAAGGGTCCTTTCTCCAAAAACTGAACTATAGCTAGATCACTGAACTCAAAGACATCCTACAACACAAGGACGAATGAGCGAAAGTAGTTTTCAGTAGTGATGGCCCGCTTGAAGCTGAAGCTCCGGTGCGTGTGTCAAAAAAATCAACACACTGCTTCAGAAGCACTGTATCGAAGCTTGATTCGTTTGGCCAGAGTCACGTGATCGGTGACGTCCGAAGCTTCATTTAGAACCTAACTGCTTCGGTATCTGATTCAATGGTTTATAAGGAAGCGAATCATTCACGGGATTTGTGGAGTGTTTTGATGGTGACAGATAGCGAACCACTGATCATTCCACTGAGAGATTTGGAGCCAGCGAGGAATAGAGGAGGTTCTGTTGTGTGGGAGAATTTTGAGTTGATTTTTGTCAATCGGGTGGGTTTTCCAGCTTTGTGTTCTGGCCGTTTGCTTTTGTTTTGTGCGTGTTTATTATATCTGAAAACGGGAAAAAGGTAAAATGTCAAAAATCTGCTTCCATAATATAAATATCATTAAATAACTTTAGAAAAACTTCCACTTGACTCTTTACATGTAATGTTGTAAAAATATATATTTTATTGTTTAATTAATCTGAAAATGTTAGTCTGCCAAATGTGCAGCAATTGAATTTATTTATTCTCTTTAGCTGATAGTTTGTGGGGCCCAGGTAGACTGTATAACTGCATCTCTACCAGTTTCTCTGCACTCCAGCCTCCTCTGGGCCATGTGAAGGGATTTTCCTTAAGGCAGGAGAAATGATCTCCACGAAAAGGAACAGGTTCGGCCATCGCACATTAGAACAAATTCTCTTTTTAAATAAAAATGAAAAAGGGTTACCTTAAATGCATCATGTTTTTAATTTGCAATTTCATAAGCATTTTCCCTTTCCATTTCACAATCAATTCTACCCCCAGGTCAAAAATATGTCTGGGAAAATTTCCCTAATATAATATTATTTATAAATACACCTGTCTAGCGATTAATTGCATAAGTGCATGGAGGCAGGACCTCAGAGCAGAAGCATACTCCATAATGTGTTGTACATTATTATATGTATATATTATATGTAACGTGGTATTTTTCAATTATTGTATTTACTAACATCAAGAAGTCACAAGCAAAGAAGACCACACCATGGTGCATGTTTAAACAAGGAGAGTTTACTGGTCAAAACTATTTATTAAACAAATAAAACACATTTTTTTAACCACCAAAAAATACACGTTCAAAGCAACACAACAGCGGCCCAATATCAGACAAAACTCCACTCTGTAGAGTAGGCAATCGTAATGAAGCAGTTGGTTTTATTTTGTGGATTCAAGCTGCTCTTTGTATTTTTGGCCACCAGATGTCACCAGAGAGGACTGTGTTGAAAAGCTTCGAGTAATGAACCGTTTTTCAATACAAGCTTCAGTGCTTCAGAAAGCTTCATTTGGCCATCACTAGTTTTCAGCATTGTCTTCTATTGTTATTCTATATGTAACAAGTGTCACCTGGCAGTTTGTTGCTCTCTGCCAGGTGATTGGCTGAAGAGCTGTGAAAAGGTAGTGGGTGTGTGGGAATCACGTCTTTGAAAAAACCAGAGGCAATTAATTCACTCAGGTGCGAGTGGGTATACTGTCGGTAAGAGACTTTTGCCATTTTTGTTTGGATCGTTTGCTATTGCATGTGCCTTTTTTTTTTTTTGTTTTTTTTTTTTTATGTTTTTTAATGTGTCATTGGACTTTTTTAGTGTGATCCACGAATTTTAATAGAAGAATTGATCAAGCCCTAGATCGACTGCGCGCAGGGAAACTGATCAATATTGTAGGTATATTGAGTGTTTGTTGTGCTACAGTACTCTGACAAACGAAGAATGTGGATGAAAACCGAACTGACTCTCAAAACACCCAACCCTTCAGATAGGGCTGTGCGATATAACCAAAACCTCATATTAATTTATGAACACAATTCCCAGAAACGTATAATTTTAAAGATAAAAGTGTTCTGCCAGTGGAGATGCTTTCATGTATCAGATTTTTTAAATTAAAGGTCTACTTTTTTTTTTTTTTTTTTAATTTAATTGAACCTCTGACAGTAAAAGTATCAACTGCTGTCTCTATTCAGATTTGTTTGGCCAGCCTGTTTGCCTCCTCTTTTC